GAGTATAATTTTGTTATATTTATACTTCTGAGAATAACGCATCTCAATAAGTATTTACCTGCAGTTGTTTCCATTATTTTATCCCAAGAAAAACTCTTTTACACTATGTGCGCGTCTCTTTTTTTCGTTGCTTTTAAAATTGTTGTATGCAAAGCCAATGTTAGTTAACACGCATTATGCGCGCGATATGTGGCAAAAGTATCGATACCTTCTGATGAGCAACGATAATGTTAGGTACGCATGCGTCTATCGATATAAAATTTCAAAAAGGCGTTGAATTTTAAAAATGTTATTTATTAAAAATTTCTTTGAAAAAATACTACTAAACTGCGTACTTATTTTAAATAATGACAGTTTTATGATGGCAACAACGACTAGCAAGTCAAGTTAAAATGAAAAACAATGGTATGAACATTAAATATGTTATAGCTTAGCACTCATCGGTCTGTATTATCGGGGTACTCTGACTGCTGAGGGCCAGTTGATAGGCAACCTCAAAGGCCTGGCCAAGAGTCAGAATTATTTCGTTAGCCAGTTCCTGTAATGAAATACAATTAATTTCACAAATGTATTGATATAAATTATTGTTGAAGGCAACCTACCAAATTGTCAACCATAAAGACATGACAATAATGCAGCTCCTGCTCTTTGGTTATATAGGCAAAGTAACGCATATCCTCCGCATCCTGGCACACGCAATTGATGTTCTCTATGTCATGCGAGCAGATGGCAGTCTAAAATAGATTTAAAATAAAGTAACCTAGCTGGCAGATCGGTCCGGTAGCTCACCTTTAACTCGTGATCTATGAACTTGACGCCCATGCAGGAGACGGAGATATCCACCTGGAGGCGTGTCTGCAGATTGGCTGCCTTGAGATACTTGGTGGATGTATTGCAATTCTCCAGCAAACTGATGTCGCTAACACTTGAAGCTGCCTTCAGCTTCTCATCGATCTTCAGCTTCTGGATGGACTTGCGCGTCGAAATGGTGCCCTGCAACTGCCTGATGACTGTTGAGCCCAGATACTGCAAGGATTGAATTCAATTAGCAGTTGAATATAAATTAAGATATAAATTATATATACATAAACAGAGTAATGTATTTCGCCATAGACCAGCGTATAGGGCGAATGGCACCAATGCGAAGCTGGACTCGGCGATTTGACCAGCAGCAAATCCTCCGGATTGCGTATGTGCAGCGATTGACGAGCGTCTTCCATAGAGCTAGGTTGCAGCTGTTCACTGTGCATCTCATCCTGTTGCTGCTCCATTTCCTGCTCTTGTTCCCGGTCCTCATCCACCTCCTGCTCCATTTTCTCTCCCGGCTCTGGTTCCACAATGCACACCTCATTGCCTATATTCTCGAAGATCGTATCAATCTCGGCCCACACACGCGAAGCACTAAAATCCTCGCCAGTTGTGGAGAATCGCTGCTTGGACAGACTACGCCGTGGATTGAATGCATTGACGTTTCTCACCATGCTGGGCGAACGCAGGCCACGCCCATCCACCACATCTAGCGCCAAATTCAAAGTTGAGCCCTTAAAGAGGCCAGCGAAGGGCTCATCGCCCACAAATTCCTCCACCTGATCGGAGCTGCAGGAGATCTGAGAGTCATCTAGACGCGGCGGCTGCATAAAACTAAAGATCGTGGTCTCAGCCTCAACCACAGTGGGTGGCGGATAGTCGGGCGTGGGTGAGTGGCGAGCTATATGCTTGATGCTATTGTTGATGTTATTATTATTGTTGTTGTTGTTGTCTACAGACTGCCTGGGTAATATATTCTCATAGTCAAGATTTAGGCGCGTGCGCGGCATGGGCACCGGAGCTTGCAACGGAGCTTGCATTGGAGTTTGCACCGGGGTCTGCACCTTCATCTCCACATAGTCAGATCGAGGTTGTGCCTGAGGTGCACCAGCTAATAAGCAAAAACAAGTAATTTGGTTAAGGATTGGTACTGGGTCATGTCGAAGAACTTACAGCCACTGCTGTGGTTGCTCCGCTCCTCGCTGCTGGAGCTGGGCTTGAGCAGATTGATGTACTCATAGGAGCGCGAGGGTATCGAACCATTGGAGAAGGTCTGCGCTGAGCCGAGTAGAGCGCTCTGATACGGCAGCTTGTAGACTGGCTTATAGCTGGGCCACAGCTCCTCGCGTGGCTCCAAAGTGTGCATATCGCTCACCGACTTCTGTGGCCTAATGGGCTTCATGTCCAAGTAATTGGTCGGCCTTTTGATGTAATTATCCAACGAGCTTAAAGAGTGCGAAAGTCCATTTGGTGGAGGAACTTGCTTGCTACAGTCAAGTAGTTACAGTTTGTTTTTTGAGAGGGTGGTAGTAGTGTTATGTGGGAGAGAGAGAGAAAGAGATAAAGAGAGAGAAGACCAGACCCGTTATATGAAGGCGCTGTGGCAATTAAAAGAACTACCAACCAATTGAGTACGCTGTGTGTGAGTGTGTGCGTGCGTGCGTGCGTGAGTGTGCGTGCGAGTGACATAGGATGATGAGCATGAATTCTATTCTGGAGCCGATCGGAGTTCACATACAAATTAATGCCTGCATTTCGTTAATTGATCTCACAAATTATAACATGTGTATTTAATGTGGGCGCATATGAGAGAGAAGTTACTTGGGTGCATGTGGGCGTGTCACATGTATTTCAGTGGTTCAGTGGTTAGTGCGTGCGTTGGCTTACTTCCTCTGCTTGGATGGATCGCTAAGCTTGGCCTGCTTCGGCCGCTGTACATTCTTCTCGTAGAGGCGCTTCGGCAGCGACGACGACGAATCGATATGGTTGACCAGCTGCGTTTGATTTCTGCGCAACATCTGTGACTCAGTCAATTCGGTATATTCTGAAAGTAAACAATCCGTGTGGGCGTTAGAATGTCAATACAAAGAGAGCCCAGTCATGGGCCCCACTCTAAATCATGGTATACTTATAGGAATTATTAGTTTTAAAACTATATATACATACTCTTTCTCTCCCTATATATATATATATGCATATTCTATCGAAGAGTTTTATTTTAAAGATATATTTTACTGCAGATCGAGGGTATATATATAGAGAGAGAGTTACACATTCCGTAATTCCTATTCAACATCATCTTTATAAATATATATTACTGGTAAAAACATGCTTAACTATTTATATTAACTATTTAATATATATGCATATATCTACTCTATCAGAGTGCTTTATTTTTAATCATATATTGCACCTCATCAAGAATATATATAGAAATATATTGGGGTTACAATGAGTACGTTACATATTGCGTAGCTTATCACAGGATAAATTTAATCATATTTATTTCGGTCAAGTTGCGAACCTTTGATGATGGCTGCAATCTCGTAGGTCACATGAGGTGGATAATCGGAGAGTAATTCGAGGGCGGTGCGTCCGTTGCCGTCGGTGGCATGGACATCGATGCCAGCTCTGAGTAGGGTTACCACCACCGACTTCTTGCCACACAGCGCTGCCTCGTGCAACGCGCTGCCCGCATTGGTTAGAATGTTGACATCGACGCCAGCTGCTAACAGCGTTTCGACCACTTTCTTGTGGCCATTGCGGCTGGCCAGGTGGAGGCAAGTGTGCGTGAAGATGTGCTTGGTAGGCGTGGGCGAGTATTGGTGCGAGTAGCCAAGCATTTCGGCAACCTCATCCTCGTCATGACGGCGATAAGGTGCAATCAGATCGGGATCGGCGCGCAGCAGAGTTTGCACCGCCTGCAGCCGGCCGAACTGTGCAGCCAAGTCCAGAGCCGTCTGAAAGCTATTGTTGCGTATGGTGGGATCGGCGCCATAGGACAGCAGTATAGCCACGACATTGGTGTGCCCGTGCTGGGCACTCGAATGCAGCGGCGTCTCGTTATCAATTGTCTGGGCATTCGGATTTGCCGGCTTGCAGCTATGAAATAGGAGCATCTTCACAATATCTTGATAGCCCGCCCAGGAGGCCAAGAAGAGCGGTGTTGTGCCACGTATATCGGGCACGTCCACCTCTGCATTGTGGGCGAGCAGCAGGCGGACGACGGCGCTATGCCCATTGAGACAGGCGTGATGCAATGAAGTATATCCATTGACATCTTGGCAGTTGATATTGAGACTTCGACGAAAGCTAAATAAAGAGAGAGGGAGAGAAGTTATAAAGTGTATTGTAACTCTAATACTAATACAACGACTATGCTCACCTGGACAGTGGACCGTGTCGCTTGGTCATCAGTTCCAATAATTTGCCGACGGTTTTTATATCCCCACTGCGGGCTGCTTCAAGTAAATGCTGATCCTTGCCCATTGGAGCTATTTCATTTATTTAAAAGAATATCAAATTTGTGATTAAACTAAAACACAATGAGATCATAGCTATACCCCACCCCCACCCACACCCTTTCAGAGTAAACAGGTCTCTCTTTCCCACCCGTTGTCTCATCAGGTGGCAGTCAGCTGTTTCAGCCCACTGTAAACTCAGCAGCACGTTCCAATTATTCACACATTCCAATGGGCACACACACGCATAAACAAACACACCAGTACATAAGGTATGTTTGTTTTTATAAACATGTTGGATTTAGGGCCTACTCTTCCAAGGTCATCGTACGGCATTGCCACCCAAATTTTCACCAAAAATAGTTCAACTTCTCATTCTTATGCACCTACCGACTAGTTCTTCACTTCCTAAATAAAACACTTAATGAGCTATAAATGCGGATAGCTTGACACAAATTCGATCAAACATTATTATGTGTGCTGCTGCTGGTCGTTGAACGATTAATTAATTATAGTGCTTGTACGTGGAAATAAGAACCACTGCAACAAGTCCAACACTCTACACTATCAACAAATAGAAACGAACTGGCAGTAGAACGATCGCTCAACTTGTGCTGTTAAATTTCTTCAGCAATTCGTTCCGTAGCCTCACTTTTGCGTTCTGTTGCCTCCCTACTGCGTTCTGTTATCTCACTTTACCGGCATGTGTGTGTAATCGATACTTATCGAATCGTCGTTTGCTGTCAGTCAGAGACATCGATGTTTTTGCTTTAGACGCTCAATGTACATTCATTTGGTTAATCATATTAAAATTGAATTCTACAAATAGCCAAATACACAATATGGAAGAAACTAGTTCTATGAAGCCCAAGCGCAAAGACACAACAGAAGGTGAGTGGAAGCATACGTAACCAGCATTTAAGTAGCAAAGAACTGCGTATAAATGATAAATGTGCCGGCACAACGAGTTCAATAGAGACCGCTCGTCCGTGTGTGTGCGTGTGTATAGGTGTGTTCGCTGGCCATACATTAAAATTTAAGGTATGCCTTTCTGTTTAAATGCTTAATGCAATGTCATTCATTGTGTTGCCCTTGCAGATAAAACGGGCGAGGAAACGGCCGTGCCAAACAGCGACGGTCCACAAAAGAAATTGGCGAGGCTCAATGAATCGCTGGAATCGGCGTCTGGAGCGGGCGACGCAGACGTGCAGCTGGCACTTAACAAAGCTTATCAGCAAAAGGATGTGACGCAATGGCTGCAGTCAGCGTGGGCCAAGCAAGCGGCAAGCACAACAGAGGAGACGACTGGTGCACAAATCTATGGCGAACCATTCCAAATAAGCTTGCTGCCCAATTTCCTAGAGACAGATAATACGCGTGCTTTGGTCGACGAAATGATCAACAAGGTGCATTGGTCGCGCAAGCAAATGGATTTGTACGAGTTCTATCAGAGCACCGATTTATCCAATATGCTCGAGTGCCGGCTGCTCACGAACTTTTTGCAGATGCTGCGAAAGCAAGTGCGACCATGGCTTGAGGAGATCACAAATCTGAAGCTAGACTATGTGTCCGCCTCGTGCAGCATGTACAGCTGCGGTGACTACTTGCTGGTGCACGATGATCTGCTGAAGGATAGGCAAATCGCCTTCATCTACTATCTGTCGCCGTGGCAGGGCGTTGAGGGGTGGAGCGCGGAGCAAGGCGGCTGCTTGGAAATCTTCTCCAGTGATGAGCAGTGCTATCCACAGTTTCCAGTGCAACGGAAAATTGCGCCCAAAAATAATCAGTTCGCATTCTTTAAAGTCGGCTCACGTTCCTTTCACCAAGTGGGCGAGGTGACGACCTTTGACTATCCCCGTTTGACGATCAATGGCTGGTTTCATGGCGCCACCAACGAGGCCTTCGTGGCCGACTCCTCGCGCGCCTTTCCTCGCCTCAGCTACCTGCAGCCGAATGTGAATAATAATCCCAGACTGGGATTGCTTCTAAACGATGTCTACCTAAAGGCAGCCACGCGTCGCAGCATACAGAAGCGGATCGAGGAGAACTCGGAGATATGTCTGTATGAGTTCTTCAAACGCGAAAAGTTCGAATTGGCTCGCGCTCAACTGCTGAACGATGAGTCGCTGAGCTGGCGACGACAAGGACCCGCCAATGCGCACAACTATGAAGTGATGGATCTGGACACCGCCAAGGGCACTGTTCAGGAGCTGCTGCAACTGTTCCGTAGCAATGCCATGTTTCAGCTGCTGCGCGACTTCACCGATCTGGATCTGTATGGCGTGGATGCCATTACGCCCACTTGCAGCGTGGAGCTGCAGCGCTGGTCGCACGGCAACTACACGGTGCTGGGCGACGGTCTAGTCAGCGAGGAGAATACCCTGGATTTGGTTTACTATCTGAACGCGGCGGAGGGTGCGGCGGTTATCACATATCTCTCACCTGATGTGGAGCAGCGCACGGCCCACAGGAACGGTTTGGATACCGACCAAAGCATTGATAATACTGACGATACAGAGGACGACGAAGAGTGCCAAGATGACTCCGTCCTCCTCACAATAACTCCCGTGGACAATGCCCTAAACATTGTCTATCGCTGCGAGGGCACCACCAAATTCACCAAATACGTTTCACGTAACACGCCGCTAGACAAGGGCCCGGTCTTTGTAATATCCTGCAGCTATAAGGAATAATTGCGATGATTTGTCCACGATATGTCGCCGCACGTACAAGCCATAAACTGTTTTTCAAACTGGCGCAATGCACAAATATTAATATTCTGTTTTCTAAAGCTCAGCGAGAGAATGTTGTTTGTATACAAGCGGGAAAGCCACTAAATGAAATGCCCAATAAAGTGATGTATAAAGAAACGCAAGCAATCAAGAATTTTATATATGCAAATCCCAAATTATTTCTAAAAGTTTAGCAAATGAATTCTTCAACCTAATTGTTTTATCAATCAGTTTTCAGCTTTAGCAAAAATTCTTTACCCTAATTGTTTTATCATTCAGATTTGCTTTTTTGTTTGTTTTAATTGCAGATAAGTACCGCATTGCTGCAACGATTGCGTTCATTGTGGTCATCGTTGGAATTGGCGTGCCCATGTGGTGGAAGACAACCACGGTCTACAGGTGAGTCAGCTACAGTGAGAGCTCACTATGGTGGATGTTTGTGATTACATGGAAGCAGAACAAATGGGGCTTCAAGTGGAGTCATTCGCCACAGTGAACAACCTGTAGAATGCTAAATTAGATTTCAGTAACTTATATATCATATTCTATAGCGATAGCTTACTTATCTCTTAGCACACTCTATACTAATTCCTATTTAATACAGTTTTCACTGCATTCACAATCTACAAATTTGAATTCTCTTTCCCAGAGTCTCTTTGCCTTCGTCTGCCATTCTGCGCCTCAGCGATCATCCCATCAAAACAGTTGTACATGTGGCCATCTATACGCAGCAGCCAGATCGCGCCCAGCTGCTCATTACGGAGCTGCAAAACGCATTTAAAGACAGCAGTATGTCAAAAAGAAAAAAAAAAAAAAAAACATTAATCATATGCATGGCATGAAACCATTACTAATGACTATTTCCATTTAGATGTTTGGATTATGGAGTTCAAGCAGCTGTCGCCATTCGCCAAGGCATCCGAGGCCCATACTCCGGCCGCCTTGGAGAAGTTGCTGCTGCAGGAGCATCCGCAAAGCGTGGGAGATTTCATGTTCATTGAGTGGCCCAAACTGGAGGATGAGTTGCTGCTAACCACTGAGCGCTCGGCGCTGATGCGCACCGATGTCAGTAAGTAGCTATGGCAATGGTTATAAATTTCCTCTTGAAACATTGCAAATCTTGCACCTTTCAGCTTCCAATAAGATGGCGCAGCTGCTGCATACGAAAATTCTGCAAACCTATCGCGTCAATCAGATACTCAGCAAAGATGAGCGCATGGGCATCAAGTCGGAGGCTCCACAGCCTGACTACGATGTGGTTATATCCGTCCTAAATCCTAAACCTAAAATCACCAATGCTAAGTGGAATGTCGTGATGGCTGCGCAGAGTAAGTTCGTCTAAGATTTTCAAGCTCGCTCTAATCACTTGCAATTGCAGCTTATATAGAGCCCTTCCTGGCGCAAATCTCTGACATATCCAGCTACACAGTGCGCACTCAGTGGAAATATCGTGTGGCCCTTGAAGCCGATCTGAAGCAGGTGCGCGATCAAACCAAATTGGGTCGCCACTATGCTCTGCAGGAGTCAGCCCTGCCGCATCTGCTCACATCCATAGCACAAAATTTGAGCGCGAGCATCACGGACAAACCCGTCATCAACTTGGTGGTGTATGTACCGCCCTGCAGCTCTGCACCGCTGCACATATACAATAACAAAAATGAGATATTGACGCGTGATGGCGTCGATGCATTCATTTCCCCACCCTGGGGCGGCTTCATAATAGCCAATCCGCCCGAGAGCGTCTGCATGGCCTATATAAACGACGAGCCACCCATGCAATATTATGTGAATACTAATGATAATATGCAGGTAATGCTGGATCAGCTGCAGAAGCTATTGGACATCAGCAGTGAGGTGCATGTGTCTGGCGTCAAGACAGTGGACATTGAGCAGCTGGCGCCCAGGCGCTGGGAATACGAATCCTATATACGACGCAGCGCTATTCGCCACATTGCCACAGCCAGCAACACGCTGCAGAGTCTGATCAAGCTATTAGGTAAAACAGAGCAGAGTTAGGACTAATTAGATTCATATTTAATGTGTGTCACGCTTCGTTTTGCAGATCAAATCAGCTACATTGTGATTGACGATCAAGTGGGCACCGCCATAACCAATTCGCATAATGACATTCTGGCTGCCAAGGCCGCATTGCTGGAGCATCGTTTGCTGAATGCCTCGGCGTTGGCCAAGCGCGCCTTTGTGGCCTCGGAGCGCGGCTTCTTTGACGCCAGCTTGTTGGCACAGCTTTACTTTCCTGACGAGCAAAAGTATGCCATATACATTCCACTGTTTCTGCCGGTCATGGTGCCTGTGCTTAGCTCTTTCAATATGCTGCGCAAATTGCTGCAGCGCAAGCGGAAGGAAAAGCAGCCGTAAACGAGCCATATCGAGCGCGCGCTTAGTCAACCAAATTATGTATCATTTAAATTAAAACAATTAAGAAGATTCTTTAGAGATTTGAAAGTTTACTAATAGTTAAGCTCGTCCGTTGCGCCCCTCCTAATAGCGTGATCATCTTTCCGAGCATACACTGTAGACGCTTACGCAGATGAGATATGCACACAATATACGTAGCTTCATGTTAGTGCGTATATATCAAGATTTCGATCCAAAAGTATTATATGTACATGTAAATAATTTTGATTACTAAATCAAGGCGAGCAAATGGCACTTCGTAGCGCCTCAATTTTCCCTGATGACTTTTATTGCTGGTAGGTGCGATATCAGCGCAAAAATCAAATTTGTGTGTGTGTTTTTTTTTTATGTCAGGGCTGAGAGATGCCACGCACCCACATCCATGCCCATAGCCCCTCCGGGCCAATCGAACGGACGCAGCGTGTGAACATGGCGCATAGGTCAGAAGCGGGATGCCGCCTCATGATGAGTGTCAAAACAAGCAACAAAAGCTTTGCCAATTTTGTTGTCTTCTCTTTTTGTTTTTGTATTATTGGCAAATCAAATGTTGTTACACTCTCGCAGACAACAAAGTGCAGCGAAGTTGGGGTAGTCGACTATATAATACCCTAACACGTATTAAGAGTGATCAGTCATAGATTAACTAGTTTCTTGTGAGTGAATTCAAATTGAAAAAGTTTGACTGGACTACAAATTCGTAGTTCCGAATATATACTTTTTCGATCATTAAATATTGATTAAACAATCTTAGCTATTGGGCTTCTCGGTGTTGTGTGCTTAAGCTTTTATAATTATTCTTATAGTCTTTATTGTTAGTGTATTGCCTATTGAATTGGTTATTTATCTCCCAATTCTCCTTCATTTTATTTTTATGTCCTTCAGTTGAATATATGGTTTCTCGTTCCTTTACGGTTATCTCTTTGATTTTCTCTTCTTCCACTTCCCTCTCTACCTTGTATATATTCTTTATTTTTCTCCTCATCTATCACTTTGCAACCTCTATTTATACAGATATATGTTTTTCTCCCTCTCGCTCTCTTTCTGTTTGATCTTCGCTGTGTCTTATAAATATTTAACTTTGCTACATTTCCTATAGACTCTTTTCTTTTATATTCGCTGCGATACTCATACTTTCAAGTATTCCCTATATTGCTTGATATTAGATTCCATTTGTAAATACTTGACATCTGCATTAATACCAAAATAAGGTGAGCTACTCTCTCGCACCCCTCTTATCGGCTAATCTCATCACAAGTCGAATGAATATTTTAACATAATCCGCTTGGTAAGAGCATTCAAATTGCATGCAAATGCAAATGAACAAAAAAAATTTCTGCACAGCTGTCAAAACTCGTTAAGCATTGAATTGGCTTTGGCTACGGTTATGGGGCTATGGGCGCTGATCGGTTGAGGGTGGAAACGGAAGACGCGGCCCAGCATCGACGGCAAACTATGGGCATTAAAAACTAAATAGTTAATTTTTAATTGCGCATGGCTCGTTGAGTCGAACAACAACAACAAGACAAAAGCTGCGTCAAATGAATAAATGTGAGTGTGTGACTGTGAGTGTGAGTGTATTCAAGAAGTATTTGTCTCTTGTATTGCAAAGGTTAAATATTATTTTAATGAGCTGAGCTGAGCTGCGCTTGTCTGAGACGCGAATACTTGAATAAGAAGAAGAAAAAACTACCTTTTCTCCAATTTACGTTAGCCCAAAAGGTCAACAATGTGACTTTTAACCAACGCCAAATGCCGTCAGCTTGCCAAGTGGCTTTGTGTCACGGCTTCAAAGCGAAGACTTTCGATTATGTCCCTGTGCCCATCCACCTAGACCACATGCCACATGGCCACATCATACATAGTAAATCGAGTCGAGTCGATTGACTCCAGTGGGGAGGCACTGCACTTGCGAAGGGCTCGACGTCTGCATTTCCGGCGCCGATTGAATCAAATTACATGCCATCTCCTCCAATTGCTTTGGTTGGCCACAAAACTTCGATTTCCCACACGCAGCCCGAGCCAGAGTCGGAGCCAAACCGCACGCACGTAAAAATTCAATTCAGTTTAAGAGCAGCAACTCGTCTCAGTTTTGAGATTTTTCAAAGAAGTCAGCTAAACCGAAGGCTAACACAACAACGCAACTAATTTTGATGCGGTTGTTAAATATTTCCAAACATCTCAACAGAAAAATGAGCTGGCTGAAAAACAAATCGGGCGGAAAATCAAAGCGAATACCATATACTCTAGTAGGCAAATTTCGTACTACCCTTATGAACTCTATTTCATGAAAATCTGCAATTGGTCTGTTGACGTTGTTAAGCCTCTAGGTGTTGTAGTGGTTAAATATGATAAAGAGATTCTATACGATCTAATTTTCTTGTTATTCTAGATGTCATAGTGGTTCAATTTAACAAAATGAATAAATGATCTTCTGATGTTGCTATAGTGGCTCGCAATAATGATTCTTTATGATCTTCTGAAGTTCTTGTGGTTCTAGATGTTATAGTGATTTAATGAAAGGATTCTATATGATCTTTTGATGCGGAGAAATGTCAAACTCGATCAATTTTGGAATTTTATCAATCGCTATAAGTTGACATGGCTCTATATGATACAAGTGGTTTTAAATGTATAAGTATATTTGCTATATATGATATTCTGTGTCTCTATAGATCTGTCTGATATTGATGGGAAACTGCCAAACTTCATATATTGAAGACTTTCTTCATATTCAAATACATAAACTGATGCTTTATAAATTTAAATGTGTGTTGTCCCTTCTTTAGTACTTCCCATATTCATGATACCCATCTTATACACTGTGCGAGGGCTTCAATGTGGAAATATTGTTATTGTTTATCGATGAAGATGATGGACACTTAAATGCAATTGCCGCAACAAAGGCAGCAACAAGGCGTATAATTAATAATTGATTACGCTTAAAAACGGACATTCAGTGCCCAGCCTGAAGAATTTCGAGCTGAAGAATTGAAGAATTGATTGGTAAAATATCTAATAAAAAAATTAAATGGCACAAAGTACAGGGAGCCAGGTGTGCCCATGTGTTTGGCTTATATGGCAGCCAGTCGCGCAATTGCCAAATGCGCTTGGCCATAAACACTTTTGACCATAAGTGCAGTTGTTGTTGTTATTATTATTGTTGTAGCAGTTACTGCTGCTTGGGTATCTGCGTGTGTGTGTGTGTGTGTGTGTGTGTATTTGTTTTTTATTTAATAGCTGCACTGCATTCCCATCGCTGCGAGCTCGCTAAGTGAAATTAATAAAAATTGCAATCAAAGCTGAACGATGCTGCTGCTGAACCAAAAACGTCAATGCGTCTGCGCAATGCACATAATTTGTTTAATTAATTACGCCAACACATTTTCATTGCTGTCGATTGCCCAATAGCCGTGATGTGATTTTTCACATAAAAATAGAAATAGAAAAAAATACAAATGGAAAAAACTGTAACAACCAAACGGATTTGGCAGCTTTCGAAAGATGTTGCTGCGGCTGCTGCCACTGTTGCTGCTGTTGCTGCTGCTGCTGCTGCTGCTGCTGCTGCTGCTGCTGCTGCTGCTGCTGCTGTTGCCCGTCAGCAACATTCTCAGCATGCGCCAAGGCCAGTGGCATTTTGTTTGTGCATATGTGCCTGCATCTGCGTTCATCCGCGCACATTGCAGCTGGAAGTTCAACTCAACATTTAAGCCAACTTTTGTGAACGGCAAAAGATTAGTTGCTGCTCTTTTTTTATTTTTTGGTATAGATCCACGCTGGGCCCATTGTCAATGCTTATATAGGGTAGATTGTTATTGTTAAAAATATGTGTGTAAGAAGCAAATGAAGGCTTGGCTGTTACCATAAATTTGATATACTCTTGAGTGGGATCTATAGCTGAGGGTGCTTACTCAACTCAGTTTGGTATGTCCATAGAAATCTCTTTCTCAGCTTATGCAATCTTGAGACATGTAAGAAGTGTTTTCTTCCCCACAAAGTTTATTTTCATAATAAATTTTATTTCTATTAAATCGATTCAAGTCTTTATTGATCATCCAAAGACTCGGATTATGTTTAGAGCAACTCGTACGTTTACTTATCAGCAAACTATTCCACCACAGCATACCTTTCTCTTTGCATTCTCCTATTAAATTATCTCTTTCGGGATATCTCATAGTCGTGCATTCCCAGCTACTATTTTTTGTAGTACTTTGTATCACTTCTTTGCGAGTTGTTTAGCATTTTCAGTTGTTCTGGGAAATCTATGGAGCTAGCTGCGGGCAAAAACTAGAATTGGGCTCGTGACACGACCAAAAAGCACCTCAGCTCGTCGTCTTTATTGACAGCGAGTTGATGCAGTGTAATGCACGTGTAGTCTTTTATGTAGAACATGTTTAGCTATTAAACAGCTACATTTGTATGTATTAAATTGATTTTTATAATAATTCATATCATTCTATATATGTAGTTGTATAATTTCATTTAATTTAAAAAACAACATTCAAGTCAATTTTTTGATTAGCATCGTCATACTAATTCTGTGTTTATCTGCTTATTCATTAATTTAGTTTCTTCTTGTTTCATGTCGTACCAACTTTTTTCTATCGATAGATACTCGTATCTAAACATTCCTCTGCTCTGCAATACTCGCAAATGCAGGCGAGAGTGCGACAGTCTCTCTCGTTAGCGTGTCGTATACGTAATGTAATAAAGTTGTTTATATGACAAGAGATTATTATACAAATTGCCAAACTCTTGTAGCTTAGGCCGAGATCTCAAATACAGCTCGACTAAATAACAATGAAAACTTTTTTTAATTTGTGAAAACGACAAATTACGCGACGAAACGTAATTCGAAGGTTTCACACAAAAAAAAAATTGTTTGCATAGATTCGTGTTAGATGGACAATAATAATAAAATAGTAAAAAAAAAAATGGCGAGTGATTAAAAAGCGTTCAGTAAGAAAAAATGTTGCTGTCAGAAAATAATAAACAAAAAAAAAATATATATATATATAAATATTTTTATATACACATACATATACATAGCATGTACTACAATGCCTGGGAACTACTGAGAGCTGAGTGCTGAGGGCTTGTTGGATGCTGCTGGAAAAGTGTCGATGCTGCAGAGAGGTTTACGATCGTGCTCAAGGACGCTTATAAAACAAATATAGCGAAATGCATTAAACAAAAGCAAAAATATAGCTTGCCGCCATTTGACATAAATGCCAATTTAAATGCTGCAAAACGCATAAATCAACAAACGAGAGTTGTTG